ACTGGTTTTCTTATACAGCTGTGGAATTGATTGCTGAATTTGCCAACCAATGTTATACCAAAGATTTAAATGCTCATTTAAAAACAGAGGTAGTTCAATAATCTGCTACTTTCAATCAGGTTTGGAAGAAATTCTTATTGATCTCATTTTCCCTGTGAACCTCAGAAACTGTACTAATAATGAACTTTATTAAAGAAGGATGTGACAGACTCCAGTGGAGGCTAAAGGAGAAAGAAAAAGCTCTTTAGAACAATACCACAGCTTTTCTACATTTGCCTTCTGGAAAAAGAAAGGTATCAGTGTTACAGTGCATTTTCTCCCATTGTGTTTGCAAAAGAGGAAACACTGTGGAAGTCTTGGCTAATTTGTAAAGTAATGACTTTTCAAGCTGTATATCAAGAGCCTTGCTTAGTTAAAATTACTTATTTTCTTCTGTGTTAATAAAGGAACCCTGTTAGTTCTCCAAGTAAAGAATGGAGGCTAAGTATATCATATCAGAGTTTGCCAAGATATGGAAAACGTGAACATAGAGCAATCACGTTAAAAAATAAACCTTGCAATAAATTCAAAAGTTCAAAAAATCCTGGGTGTTTCTACATGGCATCACACCTGAGACAACTGTATTCACACAGCTCAGATAGAGGCCAATATAACCTGCTGCTTATGACCAGATAATTGGCCTGCAGTTAATCGGCCTTCTCTTCTTGCCTTCTAATCAGAAACTCTTCTGGTACCTTTTTGAGCATCTGAAAACTTTTGCTTTGAGACTGCCCTTCTACAATACCCTTCACTATACTGTGGTAGACTCTCAAACTGATTACACTTTTTTCCCCCAGAAGCTTTACTCCAGTTGAACAGAACTCTGACACGGTAGTGAGGATACATCCCCATACGAGAGGATCTTATGTTCACTTCTGAATTTATTTATTTATTTATTTATTTTTGCATTGCAATTCATTCCCTGACAAAAACAAAGGAACAAACGTAAAATATTGTCAAGCAAAATGTATTCTCTCAGAAGCCTGGCCTAACTATTTTGTCCATGAGCAGAGCTAGATTGTTTACTTCTGTGTTCTTAATAACAGCAAGTATGTTTCCTCTAAGTAGTAGGACTATTTTAAACAACCAGGCCACATAGGTGAGATGGTTGTATTCCCATGACTGTTGTTTTTAAAAGCAACAATGCTGAGATCTGCAAAAGTAGCTGTGTAATTACTGTGATGCACACTGAAACCAAGATCAAGGCTGACCCGTCTGGTGATTATCTCTCCATCTCTCCTTCACAGTTCAAGAGGAAGATGATAAAAGCAAGTCCTCAGGGGGTAAAACGGTCTCAGTTTGGTCCCTTTCAGCTTGTTGGAGTACGGGCAAGCTGAACACTAGGTCTGCAACCATCACAGTAACTGGAAAGGTAGAGAATTACTCTCACATGGTAGAGGCAGCAAGCAGGGAAATGCCAGGTTTCTGTTCACACACTCTTCCTAAGGCTTTCAGATGAGCACCTGGAAGCTGGGCTGTCAAGTCATTGTTTGTAAAAGCAGTAAATTCTGCCAGGTATTGTTGTGCTCTGCAACCGGCAAGTTTTCTATGTGAGCCCATTCATGTTTGTCGCTGCTGAAATTCCAGAGGACCCAAACCATCTGGTAAACAGAGGGCATCAGAAGCAATCTGATCACAGTTCTAAACTGTTTAGCGATGTTCCTCAATTCCCCATTACAGACTGGTCAGTGCTATGTACATTCAAGTAAAGAAAATTGCTATGTACCTTCTTTCTTCCTATGCAAGTATGTGTTTATGGAATTACTTTGCTCAGTACCTTGCTCCATACAGAATTGAAAGTGATCTTAATGAAGATGGAGTTACTGCTTTTCAGTAAAAGCATAAGTAGTTGTAAAAGGTCAATAAGATTTACTTTGGTATAAGCTTAGAGATCATTTGTTATTCAAATGACAAAAAGATGCTGTGTCTATAAAGTTGAGATAATGATCAATGGCACCACCTGTTTAACAGGTAGTCCTTGGCATTTCCTTAATTTCCCCATGGAATAAGACTTGAGCTTCGCTTACTCAACGTGAGCATGGGAGGCTTAGAAATAATCATAGATTATTGCTGAGATGTTCCAAATGGTATTTTAGAAACAGTCTCGCAGCTTCTTGTTTCTGATGAGCCATTTCCTCTCAGAATGCCAAAAGGTTGCTTTATTTTTCAATAATAACTATAAAAATGTAAAGTTATTAAAGTCTTAACTCTGCATCTTCCATTATGGCCTCTGAATCACACAATTACTGAAATGAAGGTTTAAAAAGGATTCAAAATATATTCAAAAGAATACAAAATACTTCTTACATTTTCTAGTTGCAGATCTATGAGCATTTTCTAGGGAAGATATAGATCATCAAAGAGCAAATTTAACTAAAGAATTGCTTTTATTAATGACCTTTTACTCATCCCTTTCAACTCATTCCAAACCCTGCATTGTTTTGTACAGGTTGAAAACCACTGATGTGATTCAGCCATCTCTACACCAAAGGATATGAAGAGCATCATCAGACATTTCACGAATGCATTTCTAGAATTCCACCACACCAGGTTTTAGGGGCCAACAGAGAACATTTTAAATCGGATGGGAACTATAGACAAAGAAGGATATGAGTGCTAGTATCTGAAAAAGGAGAAAATTGTTAAAGTCATCACTGGACTGTAGAAAGAATCCTGAGAAATTGCTCATCTAGCAGGATCTTACATCATTGCTCCTGGGCCAAGAAAAGCACTCACATCACAGTCACACCAAATCTTCATATGAGTCCACTCAAACACAACTTCTCTATTTACTGTTTTCTTGACTTAAACTTGCATATCAGGCCCACTGGGCTTGGTGAATTCTACTTGCTTTTCAAAGAGTAACTACGAACAGTGCTTTTGACTTTTCTTGTCTCCATCTGAGAACGTCAAAGCATGTCATAAACGTCAGAGTCCACATCTTGTATCACTATCCCTTGTTTGTGGACAAGCACAAAATTCAGATATTTAAGGGCCTATGTTATTTCAGTTAATATCTAAAAAAAGTCTGACTGATTTTGACTATAGCTGGTTTTCTGCCTTGATGCATCACTAAGAGTCACAGAACAATTCAGTGGGAGATACAGAAATAGAGTACAGCTGTCCCAATTCCCAGACTCCATTCTAACCAAATGACCATGTAGCCTCTCATCTTGGTGCTTACAAAAATCACCAACTGCTGTAATTTGCATCTGCAAGCCATTCTGTAACTAATCTTAAATGTATCTTTGTTCATAGCCAGGCTCAGCCCACAAGGCCCAGGAGAGGACTGACAGAAGAGTGGAGAAGCATTTAAGCTTTGTGTCTCGCAGTCCTCTCAGCAGAAGCAGGTATGAAATGCTTCCAAGAATTTTTACTCTAGTGTTTTGGGTTCACTCACTCAGCTTCCCTTGGGATGTACAGTGTGCCAGCTGGAATTATGTGAGTAGGAAGCCATAAGGAGATCACAGATTCCTAAAGGCCAGAGCTATTCCTGGTCTTAGTATATACTTCACTGGTTATTTTTGTGCCTTTATTGTTCCATAAAGCATGATACCCATTATTTGGCCTATAGAACAGCTTTAATTATAATCTCTGTCCCCAAATGGCAGCTAAATACCCATTGATTCTCACTTCATGCTGTTTGTTCGCAAACAAATCCAGTAGTCCAAAGCACCAGTGTAGAAGTCTACTGCTATTACAATGGCCATGGAAGTTATTATAAAGATGCAAATTACATAAAGGTCTGTCATTTCATAGTTAGTAGTACAATATGAAAACCACATAACTTGAACAACTGATTTTTTCTTTCTTTCTTTCTCTCTTTCTTTCTTTCTCTCTTTCTTTCTTTCTCTCTTTCTCTCTTTCTTTTTTCCCCCCTAAGTATCTTTGTTGTGCATCAAGGTTCATCTAGATGACTACGAATGATGGGCTTGAGAACAGTTCTACACTGAATACTCAATGAACTCCCCTCACATTAGCCAGGTAATTCACTCAGCCCTCCAAAGAAGGGACTTGATGACCTATTGTGCTCTACACAATCCTTAAATACATATTTGGAATATGAGCACCTCAGCACTGCATTACATCTCCAGTGGCTTCTGTGGTTAGCTAAGTACAGTGCAGATATCCCTGTCTGATTTCTGGCCATTAACCCTTTATATAGTGAAGGTCTGAATTTTAAGTAATGGCTTCCATTTTCACTGGTGACGTTAGTGATTGATAAAACTGATAAACTAAAAAGCCCCTAATTATTTTTGTTCATAAGCATTAAGGACATGGGGTGGGGCTAATGGACAATAACAGAAACTGTGAACTGTATCACTTACTATTTGCAAAGGTCCTCTCATAAAAGATCCGACAGGACCCGCGGGAACGGGGTTAAGCTGAGGCAGGGGAAGTTTAGGCTTGACATCAGGAGGGGGTTCTTCACAGAGAGAGTGGTTGCACACTGGAACAGGCTCCCCAGGGAAGTGGTCACTGCACCGAGCCTGACTGAATTTAAGAAGAGATTGGACTGTGCACTTAGTCACATGGTCTGAACTTTTGGGTAGACCTGTGTGGTGTCAAGAGTTGGACTTGATGATCCTTAAGGGTCCCTTCCAACTCAGGATATTCTATGATTCTATGATTCTATGATCCATGCTGGAACTGGAGAGCAAGAACTCCATTTGTCTTCCTTCTGCTGGTAATACCAAGCAACCAGCTTTTTTATGTTCTTGTCCTTACAAGTGGGAATAACTCTGTGCTGGATTTTATAGAACTACCATCCTTTCTTCTTCCAAATCCTTTTGAAACACTGCAGCAAAACTTACAAACTAACTGTACATACCTCTGACTATCCTGATGGCTACCAAAACCCTTGAAATAACATATTTATACTAAATTATTTCATACACTTGTAACACATCATTGTCACTGTCTTAGGATGTAAATTCTCATTTTTACTTCTGTATAGTACTTACCATGATGGGATTCTGATCTTCACTGTTGCTGCACCACAGGTCTCTTAACAACCAGTAACCTAAAAGATAAAATGACCAGTCTTACTGCAGGAAGAGTAACACAAGGTAAGCAAATTTAAGCCTTCAGAAAATGAGACGACCAATTAACTTAGTAACTATTAAGACCAATAAAGACAAGTCAGGAGCAGGTTATCCATAACAAACACACACATAATAACGTATGCATACAGGCAAACAGAAACAAGGAGAGGAAGGGAGCAATACTTGAACAAACTGTTATCCAATTCAGTGTCCTCAGCTGATATGACTGGCACCTGTAATTAACTTTGTTAATAACACCAAATATCTGGTCAGAATTCCTCTCTACATCTGATTCTGAGCTGCAGCTCCCTTAAGAATAGCTGCTTTTTGGGTACTGTATATAGGCAGGCACAAACAGATCTGGCTTCTTGATGGGGTCATGTCACTGGCACCACTTCCCTTTCTTATCAGACCAATGTGGTCAACATGAAACCAAACCACATTCACACTGTATTCTTAAAGCAAAGCTTGAGGTTGCTTTGCTGAATATACCACTGAATAGCTTGCTGCCTTTTACAGCAAAAGAAAGCAACAACAGTAAATAAAATCAGTTATTTTTAAAGCAGCTATAGAAACTTAGGCATTTCAAAAAGGAAGACGTTCTACCATCAGCTACAAGGGCCAGTTCTGGACCATTTCATTCTATTTTTACTCAGTCTTATTCATGCTCCCACTGTGGTCTCTGATCTCTACCTACTGGGCATGCATTAGGTACGCCAAACCATCAGGAGCTTCTGAGCCTTGTGTCTTTGACATTTGAACAAGCAGGGACTGTCAGGTGAGATTTTTCCATGTGCTGTGTTGGTAATTCCTAGTGAACTTGACAGAAGAACTAGGTGTAAGCTCATGACTGGAAACTTTAACATCCTAACTAGTATTTTCAAATACTTTGTGCAAAACACTAAATTTCTTGTTGCCTCTTCTCTTGCACTCAAATTTACTCCTTTCACATCCAATTATGCTTTCTCCACCATAATTAGGATGTGTTAGCAGCAAGTATAAAGGCACACCATAGAAGAAACAAGCATGTTTCTGCTTTAATTGCAATGGGAAGCAGTGATGTATTTACAAACCTTCCACTGACTTTACAAGTTACTTGACAGTGGCAATCAGGCTTGCTTCTTAAAAGGAAGGTGAATGTCCACCATTTCTGTCATACCAAACCAAATATCCCTGAATCTCTTGTTTCTGTATCACTAATTTCTCCACAGCTTAAAAGCAAAATTTTGGCAAGGTATACCAAACTGCTGAAATTTGTTTTGTCCAATGACTAATTCCCTGCTTGGAACAAAGCAGGGAATCTTTTGATTGCTGCTATTAGCAGCTGTGAGAAAACAACAGGCTGGGAAGCTGTTGGTTTTGATGCCTGGTGGTATAGGGTCTTGTTTCATGAAATGACATTATTTGTTTTGAAAGATCTTGGGCCGTCCCTGGAGCAAGAGACAAGGCACAATGATACTCTTTCTGAAGATGGCCACTTTCTTTCCATATTACAGGGTTCTCTCTCAATTAGAAAACTACAGAAATGACCCTGCATAAACATTACTGAGATAATTACAAACTAATTACAACAGTACAGTGAATCCATTGAGATCTTTAATTCCAAATTGCCACCATCCCAGAAGGAATAAACTGTGAGCTAGACTGACTCTTAAGTATACAATTAAGCCTGTCAAGTTCTGACTCCATAATATGCTGTTTAGTATTGAAAAGTCTATCAGTAAGCCAGTATGCGGGATTAATAAAATAATGCTTTGGTTTTGATTCCTCATGAAACTACAAAACAATTTAGCTGATACAAGCAACATGCTATTTATATTCCTTTTAGCAAAAGTTTTAATGCTACACAGGATATCCCCCCCTCCCTTCTAATATAATAGCCTTCCCTAGCCTTTAGAGATTTCAACTAGTGAGGCGAGCTGTGTGCATTCCACGTGGAATTTACTCAGTAATTCTATTAAGAGCATCCCTGCACAGAAATTAATGTCCTCATCTCATTCAATACTTGTCCTATTCATTATTTAAGATAGAATACCTAATCTCTTCCTATATTAAGTTTCCTCAAAGGATTTTGTATTTGTTTCAAGGAATTCATGAAACTAAGCTTCAACACTTTTGTGTCTGCAAAACTACAAAACTTTTGGGCTTACAGTTAGAGCAGAACATTTTGCCATTTGTGGAATTTTTTGAAAGGAGAGTCAATTGAAAGTGCCAGAGCCTTCAAATCTGGCCCTTCACTTTTGTTCCTCACCGTTTTCCGGTCACATTTCAAGTGATACTCAGCATTAGCCAGTAGAGTTTCTAATGATTTCACCAGATTTTCTTGGACAATTCAGTTGACTGTATTTAACTAGCAGCTACCTTAAAAACGGCCCTGGATCTCATATCAGAAGCAAGCTTTTCCTCACCTCCAATGCTTGTAGTAAGCAGCAGCAGCGCCAATGTTGGGACTCAGTACTGGAAGAAATAAAGTCCATGGTAGAGGAGATGCCTTCATTTCCACTCCTAGATTTTATCTTCCCAAGTACTGAAATGAATGGAAAAAGCATCATTAATCCTCATTATTTCTGTTTTTTGATGAAACTACAACAATACCAACTGGGATGTGACATGCTCTGCTACTGACTATAGTGAAGCTATAGTAAAACATTTGACCTGCCAAAAGAAAAATAATTTCTAAATTTCCAAGCAATACCAAGGCTACATATGGAAAATTACTTCCGTGTCTAATTACCATCATAGCAAGGAATCTGAATTCAATTTGTTCAACCTCAGTTTCCAGGTACTAGTTCTTATGCTTTTACTAGCATAAAGGCAGAAATCTCCCCACTGTTATCTTCCCCATGTACAAGGACATAAATGCAGTAACCAAGTCACCTTATACCTCTCTCATAAATTGTGAATGCTAAATTGAACTGGATGATAGCTGGACAACATTTTAACCAGAGTGACACTAGCTTTGTCTGGGATGGTGGGTATTGTTTTGTCAGCTGTTAGTATAGAGATTATGGGATGGAAGATATTGCCTGTCTCACAAGTCTATGTGTCTACTTGTGACTTAGAATGCTGCAGGTGGCAGTTTAAAAACATCCCACGTGCAATAGCTTGTTGAGGATGTACCACAGAAACAAGTTGCTGTCAGAAAATGCCTCTTCAAAACTGAAATACTTTGTAAATATATCTTGCCTGAAAAACAAAACAGAACAAAACAAAAAAACTTAGTTTTGAGAACAGCTTTCAAGCATGGCTGTTAAAGATGCAATGCCCACAGTGTAAGAGGATTAAGAGGACTGCTTAAATCCATTGACACTAGAGCTTCCTGACTGCTCCCAGATGCCTGGTGGAGTGTGCAGGTAAAAGAGCATCCCATTGAGATTAAGGCATTGGCCCAAGACTCAAGGAAAAACTCCACTGGAACATAGTTGGTACAAACCCCACCTTTTGCTCCAAGGGCAAGATAAAATGTTGGCCTTCCTTCTTCATATATATATTAGTATGTGTGAACCTAGCTATTCATGCAAACTGTTTTTTAAAAAGTCCTGACAAACAAGCCAATTTGCATCACACTCTTCTTGCCTTGGGGAAGAGACAGCAAGAATAAACTCTTATGTGACAGATGCTAGTCACAATGCTTAATTCGTTCCAAATCTTTTATGTTAAAAAGCACAGAGAAAACGTGATTAAGTGAAGAAAAAACTGTAACAAAGAGAGATTAAAAAACTATTTGGAATTACTGAAGCCTTCAAACACATGACAAAAACATCCGTGTTGTAATTTATGTTGTTTTTTTTGTTTTGTTTTTTTTTTAATTTAGAAGGCATGCTTGGCTTAACAGCTTATTAAGAAAGCCTTGCAGGGAGCTAACAACAGAATTCTTAACAACTTTACTGTCCTGTTTCACTTTTTGAAATAAATATTTAAAAATGCAGTTCTCATTCCATCTATGCCCACTTTAATTTATAGCCCAGTAAATTAATTTTTTAAACTCAGGTATGGTATCATAAGACACCATAAGGAGTTATTACACCCAGGAAATGCCAGACAGCTAGTGCAAAGTGAATGTCACTCCTTATGAGGCTCACAGTGACTGATGCAATAGCAGCTCCCAAATCTATGGCATTAGTATTTGATTGTGGTAGAAATACTATAATGGAGAACAAGACCTGTCAGCTTGTCCACAGAAATTGAGGGGACACTGTTTGGTTTTCGATGGGTGGACAGTCTTACAAAGAAAATAATCTAGGGTTAGTCAGCAGACTGGGCAATGAGTGCATCTCGTGCATTAGACCATGCATGTGCATGCCAAATTGCTGCATGTGCATTAAGAGAATCAGTAAAAGGTCTCTGCGAGGAACAGCTCCTGCTGTACCTAAGCTTGAGCTACACATGCAAGCATTCTATGCTGTCCAAATTAACTTCAGACTGGAGGGAGAACTGCATGCTAAGAATTATTTCCAACTCAGACTTTGTACAGATTCTCACACTGGAGATATGTGTCAAGTGAAGATTTATTAAATTGCACTCTTCCAAAGTACAAGTCTTAGCAATCCTATCATTTCTTGGTAGCCAAGAGATTCAGTATGTCAACTGCTGTACCACAAGTGAAATCCGACTCATTCACTCAGTGCTAAGATGAAATACATTCATATGGGAGGCTATTTTTAATATCAGATTCTTAGCTGTTCCTTGAATTAATATTACTATATGGCTTTGTATATATGAAAGTGTTTCAGCTATATAAACTTCTGTTTTTCCCATCTATCTTTTTTCAAGAGCAATGCTTCAAAGTGCAGGAGGATTTTTTTAAACTCAGTTCAATATATGAATCATTACAAATCAGAGAGAGACAAATTCTAAGGCTAGCCATAGTAAAATTGAAGGAAAAATTTGGCTCCCATAGAAATCCAAACAAGTAAAATAGATTCCATTTTCGATATAATCGTTAGAGATACAGTTAAAATGCCATGAGCCCCAAACTCTAACCCTTCAGCAAATCTGGAACAAGTACACTGACATCCATGACTACTCTCAAATTACAACAGGGTAATTAATATCAAAAGGCACATCTATATACAATTTTTGATACATTCTTCCTGAGATATTAAGACAAAATTCAAGAGATGACATTCTCAGGGCAGAAGGTTGAGGTAATAGCTGCATTCCACTACAGTCACTCCAAGAACGTCAGCTTTTATTTCGCAAAGAACTGAAAACAAGGCTCTTATGTATTTTCTGGTCCGTCACATAAAGTTGAATGGGGTAGGGGGAAAAGCTCCACAAGATGACCATTTTCTGTTAAATTCAGATGGGTAGTAAGCCACTTTGATAACAAAACAACTAACTTCATCTGTTTTTAATTTTATAGAGTATTTCCATTATCTGTTCAGATGTAAAATGATGCCTTTCTTCACCTATGCCCAGTATTTGTTGCCCAAAATACAGCTGAAATGGTGCAAGAGCTACAAATCCTGGACAACAGAAAGGAAAGAGAGATTTGGAGATTTTTACTGCTTCTTTATGCGTCAAACATGCCCTGCATGAATTTGCTCCATAGGCCAGCAAGAGTCAACTTAAAACTAACTGGAGTAGCAGCAGAGGCAATCTTACAGGCCACGTGAAGACCCACATTACCTGTAAGTATAATGGATCCACTTTTAAGTACAGTGCTTTTAAGAGTATCGCCAAAATGCCTTGTGTCTCAGGCTGTGGCACAGCACCCTAGAGAGGTACTAAAATGCCAGTGTCCTGGCCATGTTTTAATATCTAACACTACGTATCTGTATTCTAGCATACTGTTTATGGAAAATCTATGCCAAGAAAATATGGAATTCTAAGACAGAAACCGTTCAGTGTTATTCAGAAAAAGAACCCATTGTATAAACTTATTTAAACATAATCAATTACATTTTTAAATTTTCTTCCTTAGCTTGATAAATTACCTCTCTCTTTGCATTTATTCCATAGTATTTGCTTAATAGAAGATACACAAGCTTCTTTTTATTAAGCAGAAAAAAATTAAAAAAAAATCTCCTTTTTCTCTGTGATGGTTTACATAAAATTCAACACAGTCTCTTTGGAGAATGGAAAAAACAGCAGGTTTTTCCATTCAGGTCCAGTAAAGATATAAGGAAGTCAGCAAATAACCATCACAGTTTTAAAGTGCATTCAAAATGCAGATCTCTGACATCAGTTAAAAAAAAAAAAAAAAAAAAAAAAAAAGCAACAACACATCACCTACATTACCTCACAGCTATTTGCATAAAGGGTCCAGAGGCAGTACAGTATAAGTACGGCGACACAAGCCGTCCAAAGAGAACTTAGCAACAGTTTTATTGGATACTGCATGTGTCTGTAGCAGAAAAAGGGCAACTTTGAAGCTCAGATGTGTTCAATCCTTTAAAGCTGTTTGCTATCTCTTGCCAGATGCACCTAGCAAAAATCTGAAACTACAAACCAGGTAAGTTATCAAATCATTTCCTTTTAGCTGATTCTAACTTTCCTTCTAAAGATTGTTCTAAGCCAAATAGCCTATGTGATATTCTTAGGGCTGTTATCCAAGGACTTTATCAGAGGTGATAGAAACCTGCCAATATGATAATATACTCATCTATTTTAAAAATGCATAGAACTTGTTAACATTGTTTATTTCTTTTATGTTCTGAGGATGTAACTAAGCTAAATGATTGCTATAGTAATATTAAAGATATATTCCATTCTATTGAAGGAAGTCTGCTTACTGGAAAATAAATCAGTGGCAAGTGCTTTAGGAATTCCAGTGCTAGCTGGTAGAAATAGAAAAACACCTGCTATCTAGGCAAGTGGTAATAGAGGATACAGTTATTATTGTCTCTGCAAAAGATGTTAGCTGCTTTCACAATGCAAGAAACCTCCCTAACTAACAGAAGATAGCACAGCTATCTTCTTATATGGGCAAATGCAAAAACACACAAGTACCTTAAATATATAGAAATAGATATTTAAAGCCTGGCTGTTAAAGCTGGACTTTAACTGAAGGTGGAATGGTAGTGTTGTAAACCACATTATTTTAAAATAAACCCTTGGCAAAAGAAATTGCCTGTTGGAGATTGTTAGTGCAGGTTTACATGTGTGTACCTCATGTAGGACAACAGTTAATACAAGGTTCAATAGGGAAATTATTTTTGCCTCTTGGCAAAAGGCAGAGCAAAATCACTGGTTTTCCAGATCATCTGTGTATCATGAAGCTAGGTGTTTGAAATGCTCATATTTATACCTCCAGAAAAAAATGAATGAGTACTTGGTCTCAATTATGAAGAATTTACAGGTTCTCTGAAGAATATAAAATAAACTGAGAGGTCTGTAACAGAAATCAAGAGGGACCTTCATATGAGACTTCAATCCCTACAACAATGCCGTAGTTCTTTTTCAGTGTCTGGCAATATGGCTATTATTGCTAGAATTCTTTTGCTCCATCCTCCTCCCCTGTTGTTCTCTCTCCCATGGAAGTTGCAGGAACTCCTGTCTCACAATGCTGTCTATCCAGCTGCCACTGCTACTCCTCTGCCTGACCTTGTCTGGTGTTTGCCTCAATGGGGGGCAGCCCCTTCCAGAAGCAAGTGAGAACATGGGAAGAAGACCCCTGGATAACATCCTGCAGAGATCTGAAAGCTTCATCCTTCAGTCTGTCCTCAAGAAAGCTGAAAAGAAAGAAGAGATGAATAAAGGTATATGTAATACTGGGTACATCCCTTTGGTAATGCTGGTGTATTTCTTGGCTGAGATTATTAGACCCAATGTATTTACTTCCCAGATTCTAATGCATATATTTATTACTCCAACTAAGGTAAAGGGAGGGATAGCCCATCTGCTGTAATATACTGACACAGTTCTCAAAAGGCGCTTTATTCTCTACTACCTCCTACCTTAGGCAATGCCACACCATCACTGAGTAAGATGCTGCATAAAAAAGAATAAGTAAGAGATACTTATGGCTGTTGGAAATACTGAGCTAGCATTCAAATGTCCACAGTCCTGCTTCTACCTGTGTTTCAACCCTGCCCTTTCTCTATCTCATGCTGTATCCAGCCCCTCCCTGCTGCCAGTTACTGCAGCTGATTTCTTCTGTCTACCCAGCATCTTTTATTCACCCTGCTACACCTTTACCTGAATCTGACTTGCTTCTGCGAAGTCTAAATCAACCAACACATTACCCTTTGTTACTGCATGTCTTCCCACTTGGTTTGCACCTAGTTCCTAATATATCAATCTACCCTTGGAAAAAAAAAAAAAAGTGCCAGAATTGTTTTGACAGAGACCATCTAGAGTAATCAAATTCAAGACAACACAGTTACCAGTGCAAATAAATGGGTATAATGAGCAACAGATTATAATCTGCACTGTAGAACTCCACAAATTCACATTTCTTTAGAGAGGATTATGGAGGTTCGTTAACATTATTCTTCCCTTTGACAGAATTAAATGCCCCTCTGCCAGAATGGCTTTCCAAAAGACAACACCCCGGAAAAAGATACATAAGCGACCTGGAAAAGAGACAGCATCCTGGAAAAAGAGATGTCAAGGAAGAAGCATCTTATGGAGACATTCAGAAGAGGCAGCATCCAGGGAAAAGGGAGGTAGAAGACGACCTTGCCAGCTATCTGGAGCTGAAAAAGCGACAGCATCCTGGCAGAAGGTCGCTGTGGGACCAACATGTGGACATCCCTAGTGCACGTCTGACTTACTTGAATGTGTTATCCAAAAGACAGCATCCAGGGAGAGGGTATCTGATGCATAAACATCAGCATCCTAGCAAGAGAGGCTGGAATGATGAGCTAGACATAAGTGACCATGATGGGGAGAAACGCCAGCACCCTGGAAAAAGGCACTGGGATACCGATAACCCAGATTATGCAGGTCCCTGTGACCTTCAGGAGTCCTCCACCTGTAACACAGGCAGCTTGTGGGTTGATTTACCAGAAAAATTTAGCAAAGACAGGGTAGAAGAAAAACGTCAGCACCCAGGAAGGAGATCAACATGGGAGAGTGAAACAGAGGAATGAGAAAGTAATTGTGTATCATTTGCATTTGGTGAAGTAAATTGCCAGAACACTAAAAAATTCTGTTCACTCCCTTTTGGCTTCCTGCTGCTGATCTCCGCACTACCTTCCAGTGAGTGAGTGTCCCCATTTGAGCTAATGGCTTTGTCACACACTTAAAGTAACGGAACAGAAGCAATCAGTTGAATGGCCCAGGCAAGTACTGAGAGTCTTCGACTCCCCCACTCTGTGAAGTTAAGAGTGCTCTGTTCCTTATGGTCCTAGACCCCAGAATAATCCTATGTGCGGTCTTAAACAGGATCTTTAATATCTGTTCAGCTGCTACTCAAGAAGAATAATTGCATGGCTTCCTCTCATGTCAGTGAAATCAGTACATGAATTGGAAGAAAAAAGTATAACATGCAAATTATTTCAAAATGAAATTGAGTAGGTTTTCAATTCTAAATGATACATTAATGAGACCCTGTGCACTACAATCTATCTAGACAGTAAGCACTGAACAGAGATAGGGAATGTTCCAAGTGCAAAAGATTAGATGACTGGCTTCATAGTTTGCCTTGGAACTGCACCAAGGAATCATTTCATCTAGGAGGCTGCATAGTTCAAAGGGTTAACGCATCCCAGAGCAACTCAACCTAAGCTGTGAACTTTGCTGTGTACACCCCAAACTAGAACTCCCACCCTGGTGTGTCCACATTTCAGTCACTCCCCTTGAAATCACGCCTTCTCCTTAGATGTTTAAAATTGAAACAAATTTTCTTTCTGATATCTATCTTTTCTTCTGATACAGATTTCTGATTTTTCCCCTCTCAAAGGAATGCTCTTCCTTTCTGTGGTCAGACTCCCAAAAGTATTTATTTGATATGAATGGTTCAATAAACATCAATAGTAAACTCTGGGTGTCCTTACTGGTGGTGCAAAACATACTGTAATAGAGTGAAAAACTTAAAACCAACCCAAGCTAAACAAAAATAAATGAACACCCAGGGATATTTTTCAGTGGAAAGTTTTTGCATGCTGGTCAGCCCACGTTTACACCTAAAACTGGTTTGCTACTGAAGTGGAAGGGTGATTTGCATATATATTCCCTTTTTCAATCTTCTACCTGTATGATACACAAGTACAAAGATCTGGGCTAAACCCTATCACCTCGCTCACTGGGAATTTCTACTGTTTGAGAATGATCTTGGCAAGCAAAACGTGGTTTAAGTTTGAGGCAGATTCATTTTAAACAATGGAAGAAAGGTTGACTGATCTACCTGCTCAAACCTTCTCAATTCCATGATTCAGTGCAACATACAGCAAGACACGCAGACATGCAAGTCACTGAAGAAGAAAAAATTAATTTCACCAGTCTTGTGCTTGCAGGATGGCTTTGCTGTAGCTAAGCTCTACTGGATGTGACCGATTACTATGTTTGTACACGCACACACAGAAACAAATAGAATTGTTCTTTCTCAATACCATCATACCTTTCTCAATACCATCAAAACATGTTATATGCCTTGAGTGTTCTTTCTAAAAACGGTTGTTTCCCCACTCTCTGCCTCAGAGCACATCCTTTGTTATAGAAGTTAATTCCTCCATATGACTTAATTACCCTAACAAAGAATAATTAACGATCTCAGCAAGTTTGATGGAAGATAGATACTCCCAGGTTGATCAACACTCTACTTGGTCTGTCAAACAGTTTCTACTTTTGGAGACAACGTACTGTTCAATGCATGTGACAACTGGTAGACCTGTTTTATTGACAGGGGTTTTCTAATTAAAAAGTGCTGAACAAATCCTCAGAGGAGGTAGCTAGCAACATAACCGTACACTCCGAATTCCTTTAGCAAGTTTTCTCTATACAGTGCTTTCTAAAATGCTCGTTTCATTTCACAAGTGGAAAAAAAAAAAGATTTCTATAAAGATTACCATTTCATATACCATTTCCTGCAATGAATCGGTGCTTCTTACAGATCAGTAGTACTACACAAGACTAGAACACTTGCTATAAAATGTCCAAAATAAGGAAAAAAACAAACAAACAAACAAAACCACTACCAAGTGGATAAATACGGGCAACAGCAAAAACACAACACAGTTCCTGCAAGACAAGGATGCTGCTGGAACTGCTACAAGAAAGCCAGGGTTGGGTCAGGGAGAGAAGCATGACTGCTCAGGTCAAAGTAGTTAATGTGCAGCAAAAACAGCTGTTTCACCATGTTCAGTTACTGCTAATTCTCAAAATAACTTTATTATCAATAAACCAACCACTTACTAAAAAGAAAGGTATGTGTCGTCCTCTCCATGTGGCCAGGGAGAGCTAGCACAAGTGATTTTATGTAAGTCTAATTTTTCTATCAGCTATATTTTAGGTTCTGAGTGCTTGAGTATTTCCTGAGCTGACAAGCTTATCCAGCATCTAGGCCTATAGCTTTTCACTTTGACTAACCAGAAAAGAACCAGCTTCTGCACTGTAATGCTTTGCTTCTTTGAATGGCAAATACAGCACAATCCCTTAGCAACACGAACTACACAGATATGTACTTCTTATTTATAAAATAAGAATTTGATAACTGCACATCTCATATAACCTTATTTCTATTTTATACCTTCCCTTCCCTGTCACTTTTTATTAGAATTAAACATCTATGCAAATATCTATGTGTTACCAGCTTTGTTCAGGGACACGTGTAAATGTACTTACACGTTCTGATTCTGCCTCCAGTGGCAAAGCCCCCTGAGCACACTGCCTGTCTGTGAGCCCTTGGGGAACAACAGCAAGGAACAGACTTGGTCCAAAGATCACAAGAGTCAGTGGAAAAATATCCCTCGTCTTCTGCAGAACCTGGATATAGACAAGAAAAAATCAAAGCTGTGCATTGGCCCTGATCTGGCACCACAGGCATGCAAATTCTTATTTCCAGATCTAATTACAACAATACTGCATAGATGAGTTCTTTGTTTATTCTACACCAATTTCACATTTCTGGTATATTACCAGTTATTAAGACATAAGGGAATTTGATTCCTAAACAACACCCTACACAAGTGTCTTCAAAATGAGGTTTGTTTTCAAAGGTAGGGGAAAGGTGAAGGGAATTAGCTGTATAATTAACATTTCCTGCAATTTTCAACTCCTCTCACCACTATTGCTCTGGGCCCCCTCCCACACACTTACCAGCCTTGATCTCTTTGCTAAACCACTCTAATTAGCATGTGCTGAGTCTTTCCAAGGGACATACAGCTTCAACAAACCCCTTTATTGCTACTTTTAACGACTCTCAGTTGAAGAAAGTTTAAAAACATCACCGCCACAGCTGAAGCAGAGTCACTGCTTGCCTGGTAACTCACTCAGTTAACATTAAACGTCCACCTGCAATTTTAAAGTACCTGTCAGGACACCACTATAAATAAAAACTGTGATCAAAAACAGTCAAGTGGAAGGGAAGCACGGAAGGAGGGGTGAGTCTAGTCTGAACAGAGACATGACAGAAGAGGTGCAAGGGGGACAATCTTTGTTTTTAGGAAACAGATGTACAGACTATGTTCACTGGAGTGCAGAAGTCCCACTTCCCTCCCAACATGAACAACGTGAAGCCCACTCCTACAGGATAACGAGGGAGGATTTGAGTTGAGCACAGAGACATTTGGTAAAAACAACTGGGAAAATTCCTTGAGAACACCAATTTATCTGCTGGCCTTGAGATTACTTTTAGAGCTGTGTGAAGACATTTGTATTTTGTTTTCCTTGACGAAATCACTGTAGCTTAAAAGCCCTAAGAAGGAAACAAAGAAAGGGATATTTGTCAATTATCTGCCAACTCGCTTTGTCTGCCTACATGAGATGAAGGTGGGGAGGGAGGGGGAAGGTAAATAAGAAACAAATCTTACTAGATCACAGATTACATTGGCATGCTAGAGCGTGATGTAGGTCCCTGACAGAGGGAAGCATCAGACACTAATCTAACAGATTGATCCTAGCCAAAAGGCAAAGACAGCTCTGGAGTTCCTTTCAGCCACGCTGGTTTGAACCAGCAGCTAGAGATCCAGACAAGCAAGCAGCATCCCAGACAGCCTGACAGGGCAGCACTCAGTGACTCAGGGGACGCCCTCCTCCTTCACTCACAGCCCATGAAATTGTGCCTTCTCATGTTCACAGGAACTGGGACTAGGGAAAATCTGGAAAACACAGAAATACTCCTGCAAAATGTGATGGAGGTAAACCAGGATCCGATTTGCCATATCAGAGGAAGTTAGTTTATCGTCATCTGCTGTCTGTAATGGATATGCTACCCAGATGCAACTGAGTATGATTCAGTATAGATACTTTAATAGCTGCCAGGAATATGGAAAATGAGGTAATGAATGGGAAAAAAAGGGAAAGTGACCTGCTTTGAAACGGATGTCTGAAATACGATTGTTGCTTTAACTAATTTTCACAGAGAAGCATATGTTTCCAGCATCAGTTCCCTCTTGATTCTGAAACTGGTACTGATCTATGGTGTGTCTGAATAAGCTACTGTAAAGAGAGAGGAGGAAAAAGAAAAGCCAAGACGAATGAAAAACATAATCAGACATTATGAAGGGTTCTCAGAGCCAAAGCCGTCAAGACAAAAAGCAAACACACCATTAGAAGAAGGTCTCTGAACACGCAGGTTGTGATGAATCTGATACAAACTACAGCCCTGCAAAAGAACCACAAATCATTCTCTGCCAAGCAGCCTCCTCCTTCTGTGTAACATGGGGGTAGATAGAGGGTTATTAATTTCAGATATGCTGCTAGGATGGGAATTGGCTGCTGTACAAGCAACCCTGTAGGGGAAAAAGAAGACATGAGATGCAACCAAATATGGGTCTGCTTGAAATCTGAAATAAATACTGATGACAGCCTAGTCATGATGGTGTGTACCGATCCTATAGGTACAACATTAAACAAAATGTGAACATGTGGGAATTTTGAATCTTCCACTCCTCTTTATAATTCAACTACTATATTCAAAAGTGGTGACATTCCACTACACCCAGGACCAATATGCCAGGTTCTTCTGCTCTAAGGGCGCAGATGAATTTGTGTAGATTGCTGTCCTGCTGGTACTGAAGCAGTTAATAGGCAAATCAGACAAATGGGATTCAAAAAGTTGTCAGCTGCAGCTCTTACAAATCATGCTGTCAATTTTGATTGATGAGTCTGCAAACACAGGAAAAACACAGGAAAAACACAGTTTTGGCATGGAAATGTAGCTTCTTCTATCTTCTCTATGCAGACTAATTAAACAACTTTGCTTTGTATCAAAATGTTTACTTTAAGCAGATTGAGTATATTGAATGTATGAGTTTCATTAAAAGTGACAAATACACAATTTTTTTAGTACTCTGAACAAAAACTACGGAAAATGTTGGTTGGCATCCATCTATAATCAAAAACTAAGGAACAAACTGTGATCATTTTGGCTTACTGAAAAAAAATCTGTGGGTTACTGGAAAAAAACAAAACTTTCAATTTCAGAAGATTTAATTTTTTTTTAAGTTTACCATTAAATTACCATTAAATTACAAAATCGAATTTAGGTCAATTTCAAAACACAGCATTTATTTAGATTAAGTAATTGTTCAGTTTAGGGAAAATTTGGGAAGAACATTCTCATTTTCTACTCTCTGCTTCCACCCTAACTCTATATTGAACTCAACACTTATTTTTCATTTTTTTGTTGTTTTTTTGTTGTTTGTTTTTGTTTTGTTTTTGTTTCCCAATGAATAACCCTTATTTGTGCATAGATGTTCCACTGCATTCCTTGAGAAGCAGACAGGTATTATTCAGAAATACTTCTAGTCTATGCTTACCACTCCTGCTGGGATCAATTTCCATTATTTTACATTCCAAATGCCACTAAGGTTATTAAAAGAAGTTGAAGAGCATAAGCGAGCCTAACTGTAATACATTTCTGACAGAATTGCACTATGGCTACAGGACTGAGAATTTCCATCTTCTAAATTCCATCCCCACAAAAGTCTCTACTCTTGTATATTAGTAGCAACTACCAAGTTAGCGTCCTAAAATTCAGTTTTAGGTATTCCAACAGCTCACAAACGTATTTTTCAACTTAATTACTCAGTGTTTTCTAAGGATTTTGAGTGTCAGAGTGGGAGGAGGTACATAATGGCAGTGGGGTTTTGCAGGCTGAGTTTTTACATTCCAATGGCAGGACTAAGGAAGTAGTGTGTCTGGCTTCTGACTCTGCTTCTTGAGCAAGTCTTTAGAACACATTGCTTTCCTGTGTCATAACTCTATTATACAGGTTCACAAACAAGCCACAGCACCTGTAGCATTTCAGTAAGGTTTAATACGTACCCACATACTTTTCAGATCATTGTTTTCTATCACCATCTCCTTATTGCAACTCTCTGGATGAGCACAAATAAATGTTTGTTTTATTTTCTTTTAGTAGTGTAAACTGGATTGTTTTAGGCTGACCTGGATTTTTTCATTCTTTCAACACCCTGTGCTTGGCAAAGTGTTAGGAGTCTGAGCAAGCAACAAGCAGCTACATTTTATTCTCACTGACATCAGCACAAACCTAGATTATTTCCCACCACTTTAGCAGGGATACATAAGTCCAGATTTTGCTTTGGGAATGGACACCAGTCAACATATCACTACATCTGGCATGCTAACTTTATCTGTTGCTTCTGTAACTCTCCTCGAGAGACACCTTATGAGAGATTCTCTGCCAGTCTCATACTCTCCTAAAGATCCAAATGATATTAGATCAATCATTTAGTGAGGAGTGAGTTCCTTAGAAAGTGCTAGAGACTATTTATCTTCAGAAACATGCAAACAAATGGCATTTTTGTTTCAAAATGTTGAATGAGATTTCTCTTTTCAAAAACGACTGACACAACTTGTATTTTTATCTGTAGTTCAGAAAGACGCATTTGGTGAAATGCTCTGTCATGGTCTGTAGTCAAAGGCAGAACATGCAAAAGAACACCGTTGACTAAAGATTCAGTGAGTGCAATGTTTGATTTGTAGTACACATCCCAGAATGTTGTCAACCTCATCACAACTTGCTGTAACAGTCCTTCTCACTGTACTGTTTAGTCCAATATGAGGCTATTGGACTTTAATCACTGCATTTCCCTCATGTGTGGAGCTTTTAAAACCACCCTGCTGAAAATGAGCAATTACTGACGCCACAGAGAAAAGCAGATTTAAGGAAAGAGCTTGCTGTTCAGAACAGTGTCCCTCTTCCTACTACCTGACTCTTACTACTTCTGAATGACAGAACGGGAGAGGATGGAGCTGCCAGGGTCACGAGGGCCCTACGGCTCATAGTCAGGATTATCCTGTGTGCTGCAAGAGGGGCGAGAAAAAAAAAAAGAAAAAGTAAAACAAATGGCTAAGCAGCCCTATGGGCTGTAAAATCCACTGCAAAGTCCCCTAGCAGGTCCTCAGTTGCTCTCAGTCATGCTTGTTGTGCTATCTGGTGACAGCCACTTCTTCCATTCTCCCCCTACCCCTTTTCTTGTCCCTTCCTTACACCCACGTTAGAGAGCCACACTTCTCATTACAAGAACAAAACGCACACACCAGGAACAAGAAAACAGAAATACCTAAACACACACCATCACAAGTCCTGCATCTACTCTTACCTTTTTAACTTATTTCTACTGTCACCCTTCTCATTTCCTCCCATCCAAGCACAGATCTCACAGCCCTTATTATTTGCACAGTTGCCTTTCTCTTTTCATAACTGAATCATGACCGCATGGTTTTGAAAAGTAGAGTATAACAATACTAAACAGGAAACTGCATACGTAAACATTCAGTGAGTCTGACTATTTATATAATTAAATTACTCTTGTGGTTAAATCAGTTCAGCTTTAAGACTTTGATTTCCTGTAACGCTTTGCTGGATGGTGGAATTATAAATACAAAGCAGGTCAGATTCATTGATAATGTGACAAGATGCTGATGGTGGTCAGGTAATAGTCAGCCCGCAACGGCCAGGCTGCACGAATGTGAAAAAAATTAAAACGGTTACTAAAACAGTTTGCAGGTGAACCACTTGCCCCGTTTGGAACCACCTGCTATCTTTTAGCTCAGATTTGAAGTCCCTGGGAGTTGAGCATCTGCTTGTAACTTACGCCCTGGAAAGTACACCCCCCTCCACGACCCTTGCTGAGAACGGTTTTGAACAGCCAAGCCTTGAGCATGAGACTGGGGGCCATGAGCCGCGACAACCCACCCAAAACAGGCAGGCAACGCCTGAGCACAACGAGCATCGATGCCTAAGAAAATCTCTGCCTCCAAACCCGTCATTCTAACAGGGCAAGCAGAAGGATAACCGCACCGTCCGATGACTTCCCCTGCCTCATGGAGAATGCGGGCCAGCGCACGTTCCTGCCCCTCGGGATTCAACAGGAACCAGCGCCGGAGCGGGGGATTTGCAAGGATTCGCCGTCCATGTACGCGACCGCTCTGGCGGCAGAGGCGAGCAGCAGCGGGCTTCCCGCACTGCCCCAACGCGTGCCTTTCAACAGCCCGGGCGGCGCAAGGGGCGGACGTCAGGCCCGGCACGGCGGCGACACCGCTCCCCGTGCCGGTGCACCGAGCGGCGGGACAGGGGACAGGGAGCACGGAGCGCTGCGGCCGCTGCCGGGGGGCGGCTGGCGCGAGGCGGCCGGGGGGCGCGGCCGGCCCCGCCCCGCCCCGCCCCGCCCCGTCCCGTCCCGCTCCGCTCCGCGGGCAGCGCAGCCACCGCCGGCCCCTCGCGCCACAGCCCCGGAGCGCCCCGCGGCAGGCAGGGGGCGGCGGCCGCCCGCATCGACGGCCGGGCCTCGCCCCCCGCCCGGCCCCCGGGCGCCTCCCTCGTCCCCGCCCCCCGCCGGCCCGGCGCTCGCCCCGCCCCCCGCCGGGCGCTGCTGCTCCGGGGCGGGCGGCGGCCCGCGGCCCCCTGCCGCTGGAGACACGCACCTGCTGCCCGCCGGCCGGGCCGCAACGAGGCTGCGCTGCGCTGGGCTGGGCTGGGCTGAGGCGAGGCGAGGGCCGCAGGGCCGGCGGAGCCCCTCGGCCGGGCGGGGCGGGGCGGGGCGGGGCGGGGCCCTTCGGCAGCCGGCGCAGCCCCGCCCCTTGCGTGCCGCCTCCCGCGCCTGCGCGGCCCCGCCCCGCCGCGGCCCCTTCCGGCGCGCCAGGCCCGGCTCCCCCCGGCGGGCAGGGGAAGGCCGCGGGGGGCCCGTCCGCACGCCCCGTCCCCCGCTGCAGGAGCCGCAGGACGATGTCGCCGCAGGGTCGCCGCTGAGCCGAGCCGAGCCGAGCCGGCGCGATGGCGAGTGGCTGCCCGCCGCCCTTCGGGGACCCGGCGGAGGTGCGGGAGGGCTTCCTGTGCCCGCTGTGCCTGAAGGACCTCCGCGCGTTCCAGCAGCTGCAGGCGCACTACGAGGAGGAGCACTCGGGCGAGGACAGGGCCGTCAGGGCGCAGCTCCGAAGTAAGGGCGCGGCGCGGCGGGCCCCGGGCAGCGGCAGCCGCTCGGCCGCAGGGGCTGCGGGGTCCCGGCCTCGTCCGAGCGGGCCGGGGCCGGGCCGGGCCGGGCGCGGTTCCCGGCGCCGCGCCCCGACCTTCCCGGCACGGGCAGGGCCCCGCTCCCGCTTTGTTACTGGCTCGGGAGGCTGGCGGGCCCTGGCCTGGCGGGTGCTCGGTTGTTGGGCGTTTAGCGAGAGAACCCTCCGCTGTAAGGCAGGGGGATTCCCCAGCGTTAGGCAAAGGCCTTGCAGAGCACGGGTCTCTGTACTTGTCGGGTACCGGCTCATTCCTCCCTGGGCGGGACAGCAGCTGAAACTCTAGGGGATGGGTAAGGAAGGGTGGCGGTGGGGAAAAGGTGGAGAAGGACTGGATGGTGGAGCTCTTTACTTGTAGATGCAGGGAGCGTTCCAGAGTTCTGCCGGGGACTACTGGCTTTTACTGATGTGTGAAAAATCCCTTCGTTACTCCTGTAAACTAAGGTACAACTTCCTCCCCCCCCAAGTGTACATAGTATTGTTTTACATGGAGGGAAGGATATGCAAAATATGGTGGTAGGTCTGTGTGTGCCATAAAGAAAGTCTTCACTGTTACTTTTTTCCCTGCTCTTGGAGATCAACGGTCATTACTTCAAAAGTCTCTTCTCTGAGGAAAGTTTGTGTTTTTAACAAGCCTACCTTACGAGTAGCCCAGCTGAGTATTTAAGTCTTGAATTTGCTTTCCATCAGTCTGCTTACATCTCAGCTTTTAGCACTGTCTTTTTCTTGGACAGTGGAGGTAGACTGGCCAGTACTGCAGTCACGTTCTCTTCATGGGCACGCTGCTGTAGTAAGTAGGTGAATTACAGATGCTTGCTTCAGTCAAGTGTTTAAGCCAGAACAACAACATGGTTTTCACTGTGATATGAAGAAAACAACAGCTTAGTCTTCCTAAGGTTTCCCAAATGCTTCTTTTATTGAATATAAAATTCAATTGCATTCTGATTTTTTATGTTTTGTTGTTGTTCTAATTGAACTAATTCTAGGAGATAGAATATCCAGAGGAGAGTACAGATACAAGGGCAATAAAAATGCTCAAATTTCAATTTCCCAGTCTTATTTTTGGCCCAGGAGACTGCTCTCCTCTCACTAGCATTTGTATGAAAATAATGCAGTGATCTGTTTTCTAATTTTAAAGTTATTTAGATGTACAAGCATATTGAAATTCTGAACTTGGACTTTGTGCAAAAATACAAAGAAAGTATTGAACACACTCAAAACCAAAACAAATCACTGGGAATTAAGAGAGAGTACATACGTGGTGTCCCAGTGTGCTGTGGCATGGGGTCCCACAATTCAGTACGGTTTACTGTTTACAGTGATGTCCCTGAATGGAGTGCCTAAAACTATTGATTTGCTATTAGGACCTTAGCACTACTTTGACAGATAACAAAGAGCATTTAGTGTCACCTGTGACTCTGAACTAAGCTCTGGTTTTAAACAGGACGTGTTGACTTAACAAGAAAAAAGATTTGTGTTGAAAGATAGGGAGCATTCCATGCTGGTTTCACATATGGCAAATACTGGGTAACTAACAGCCTCCTGTTTGGTATGTGGGTTTATCTTTTTCAGATCTAGTCCAGAAGGCCAAGAGAGCAAAGAAGAAACTACTGAAGCAAGAAGATGACAGAACTGATTCTGGATCTCAGGAACGATATGAATCATTCAGCTATGGTGGAGTAGATCCATACATGTGGGAGCCCCAAGAAGTAGGTAGGAGAGCTAGAGTGATATGCAGGGGTGTAACTCTGATTTTAATCTTTGCTGGGGAAATTGAACGGTTTTGCTGAAGCTGCATGGAATTGTCTGTATTGCATTTGATTTACTGTAGCATGGGGTTATGGCTTGCATATTGATTCTGTGCAGCCTGCCTACATTGTATGGGGGTGATGTGGAAAATGCGTGTGTGTGTGTTATAGAATCAAGACCCAAACCCCTTGAGAGCATGGTTAATTGTTATTTCAGTGTACCTGAGCTGTTGAGTTTTGCTGGATATATATAGCACTGTTCATCTAGCTTTGAGGTGTTCTGCATGTATCTTGTAGCTTTTAACAAAACAGATAATTTACTGAGTAATAAGCTATTGCTATATTAAATCTATGCCTTTTGGGTTACTGTTAAAATAGATGTTAGCTTATATGCCTGACAAAATGCCTCTCCCCTGATTTAAACTCTTCCAACTATTTCTTTGAATTTGAGGTATAGGTAATCTCACATTAAAAAGAGGTTTAAATTAATCAAACAAAAATAAAACAACGGTGGCTATAGATTTAAACTTTGCAAAAGTTAACTAATATGGTGACTGAGCCATTAATTACAAATACTGTTACTGGAAATTGCCTTTTACTATTGCAGAAATTTATGGTTGTTTTCAGGGAGAGGAGACAGCACTGTCTCTTGTGGGTCCTGGGAGTTTTCCTGTGTTGCTGGCAGATGAGGACTTTGCCCTTTGAGTCTGAGTTCTGTATATCATTGTACTTTTGACTTCATACCATGATTGCTGCTGAAATAGTCAAAATTAGTAGCTAAGAATAAACTTAAGCAGTGAATTAACAGAAGGTTTCTGATCAGAGTGGGGAATATGAACCTTAAGGATTTCAGAATAGGATTTGGTGGATTTGTGAAAGGGGTCCTGTAATGTCTCCAAAACAGATTGAATTCAGTTAGCCAGAGGGGCTCTCCCATTCCTATGAATTCGGCTATGGAGGTTTTTTTTACCTATTTCATTAGAATGAGGAAGTGACATTGTCCTTTGTTTAGTTAGTGTCAAAGAGCAACATCTGCTTTTGTGTTCTACCAGTCAGAAGAAAGATAACTTATATTTTGTCTGTCTTTGATTTTTCAATATCTGGTTTATGTTATTAAGAAAAGGATTAAAACTTAAACCCAATTTTGTTGAGAATGAATTGTGTATTAAATAGATGCTGTATTGATTTTCTGTGTACTTGGTGATGACATTTCTGTAAATCTGAACTGTGATTGAGGATTTTGTTCAGACCTCTGAAAGTGAGAAGGATGATCAAAAATCTGAAAGAGAAGGTGCTGTTGTGTAGACCTCAAATATTCACTGGACCTGCATCTTGGCTTTGTTCCAGATACAGTCAGGAAATAACGGCAGCTGGTTTTGAGATAAGTGCTAGCTGATAATAGCTTGCCAAATGTAACTGAGGGATGGAGATAAATAATAATAATATTGCAGATGTTCTCTTTTAATGTAGTGTTCTTAGTTGGTTTTTTTTTTTTTTTTTTAAGTAGAAATAAAACACCATTAATTAGGCTTTAATCCACATGTTTTATGTGGAGCAGAACCACAAAAACTTAGGATACTAATGTTGTTAAAATGCCATTTGAACATGAGAAATAAATGGTGAAAAAGAAGGGATAGCTGCTTTTCAAGAGGCATTTATATGTATTTAAATCCATGTAAAACACCTAGGTGACTCTGAAAACTTTCTGCTCTCTCCCAAGGTGCTATGAGAAGCCATCTTTCTGATTTTAAGAAACACCGAGCAGCCAGGATTGATCACTATGTAGTTGAAGTCAATAAGTTAATAATCAGGTTAGAAAAGGTAATTTTGCTGCTTTTTTTTTTAATATTCTAGTCTCTTAAATGTTTCCTAGACATGTAGTCATGTTTTAGTGTGAAGGGTGCCCATTTATGCAGCAGTGCACTTTTTAAAGGATAGTAAATTATGACTCTTTACAAGTGACTGTTCTTTTTTTTTTTTTATCCTTATGTAGTTTGGTCTGACTCTGTACTGCACACATGAGTTCTGTTTCTATGCAGTGTTTTCAAACTGAGAATGCTGCTTTCATGTACTTAAGAACCATCTGTTTTTTTCCTGTATGTTTTCTCCATCTTTTACCTTACAAAGTTTCTCCCTAACGTTTGTCAGGATTTTTCCAGCTCGTCATTCAGCAAAGTCCACCACTGACATCTGATTTATTTGCATTTTTACTTGCAATAATGTTGGATGATCTGAGAATTATGTCCAAATGCTCTGACTGGAGCAGATTTGGCAGTAATTGTTTAGCACTACTTGTCTGAATATGGCATTAGAAACAATCAGGAAGGTTGCAGGAATCTGATGTGAAACAGGCTTTTAAAAATGGCAGACTTTTCCTGTTTGGATGGGATGGGGGGTTAGGAGGTTGTGGAGTTCTTGCCTTTTTTTCTTACAAAAGTACAGTTTTCTTGAATTTGTTGTTTGTCTTCTACTAGCTTACATCGTTTGACAGAGCAAATACAGAGTCCGCTAAAATAAGAGGTTGGTATGAGCTTACCTCAGACTACTTGCTGCTATAGTTTACCAGCAAAGGAATTAACTGAATGAATATCTTACATTGTATGTATTCCTCCCCCTCTCCACCTGATTGTAGCTATAGAGAAGTCTGTTGTGCCTTGGGTCAATGATCAGGATGTTCCATTCTGCCCAGATTGTGGCAGTAAGTTCAGTATTCGAAATCGACGTCACCATTGCCGCCTTTGTGGGTCTATTATGTGCAAGAAGTGCATGGAACTTGTCAGTCTTCCTTTGGCAAGTAAGTGCAGTG